GGAAGAGATGGGGGAGGAGGAGGAAGAGGAGGAGGAGGAGGAGGAGGAAAATAACAAGACGCGAAAACGTGTGTTAACTTCAAAAGCCAACCGGTCGTTGAAAATGCATGTCTTGTCATTCCTTTAAGCACGTATCGATTGAATGCGTGAGTGCGCACGGCTGCACGAAGCCATGACATGGAAATGCTGGGCGCGTCATAAAGAATGCTTCGGACAAGTGAACTACCCGGTTTTCTTGCGGAGATGGTGATGTGCAGAAATGTGCTGCTTTTGCCCAGAATCTTCGCGCCTCATTTTTCGCGCTCCGCATTGAAATTTAAAACGCTTTTCGCGGGTGCTCAGCCCCGTCAGCGCGCGTCGCCGTCATGAGTGCAAAACTCCTGGCAGCAGCGGGTCGCGGAATCATCCACCCGCCAACTCTGATGCATAACCTTGTCTTGATTTTCGGTGGTCGGGCGGGCAACCGTTCGATGGCCGACGCGGGAGACTGCAATGGATTGCGCCGCACTGGGGACAGGAGCGAAGGTCTCCGTAATCATTGGACTCAAGACGCGCCTCCGTGCACTCTAAGGCCAGACCGAACAAACAACGGACTCTGCTGGTCATGGCTGCGATCATTGGGAGTCCGCCGCGCTACTGTTGCTGTCGGGGATGGCGTCCTCCAGCGAGGGGCCCGCTGATGCGATCGCGCCTCTCCGCGGGGCCTCCCCTAATCCAGCTACGCGCGCGTGAACTTCAGAATCCAGGCGGTCACCGTCAAAGCTTCACTCAAATTTCCACGCCAACATGGCGACTTTTCCATTGTGGACAATGCAAGACCGCGAGCGCGGCCAGTTTTGCATGGTCGAAATTGGATATTGTTTCAAAAATATAAAAAAGGTCGTCATGGATGCCTGGGAACAAAAATGAACCCTTAACGGTGACCCGTGGGATTTCGGGCAGCCCGCCCGCGCGCTTGTCGCCCGATCGCGCGCGCGCGGACGCGCGCATGAGACGAGTCTTGCAATGTCCATAATGGAAAAATGGCTGTGTCGGCTTGGAAACTCAAGCGGCCCCTTAACGGCGATCAACCGGATCTTGGGTGACCCGCCCGCGCTTGGATCAGCCAGTCGCGCGCGCGCGTGGTGAATTTCGCGTTCGCCACAATGGAAAAACTGCCATATTGGTTCTGAAACTTTAGTGAACCCTTAACGTGACCGGTTGGACTTTGAAGTTAACATGCGTTGTTCCAACGTTTTAGATCGCCACGGTGGCCTGGCAACTAAATGAACCCTTAACGGTGACCGCCTGGATCTTGAAACTAGGATGCGTTCCCCAAGGCTTATACACGGGACTCTATATATATATATATATATGCTTACAACTCGCCGTGCTGGCCACGAAACTACTGTGTCCTCAACCGTGACCGATTGGATTCTGAAGCTCATAATCTTCTTCGACGTTTTCAAGAAAAGAAAAGCCGCCATGTCTTATAAGAGGCAGATTTGTGAGCATCTTCTCGCGAAAACTGCAATAGAAAGTGCTTCGCTTCGATCCGGGAGTTTGCGCAAACTCGCTGCCTGGCGCCTGGTCGGCGCGCGCAGCGACGGTGGATTCGTCTCTTAATATTGTTCGGTGGGCTGGATAATGTTCGGGGGCTGTTTCTTTAGCGGGATAATCCTTTTGTGGGCTGCCCTGTACGCGGGGATTAATGGGCATCTGCTCATGAGGATTGCAATGCAAGTGCGCTTCGTCTTGGTTCGCGGGCTTGCTCGAACTAGCTGGCGTTAGGATTCGTTTCCCTGTGTTGCTGGGCCGCGCGCGAAAATATTCGAGAGCATCTCCTCAGGAGGACTGCGATGCGAATTGCGGAGGAGATTCGGTGGGAGGGAGGCGAGGGAGGGGAGGAGGAGGGGGGAGAAGAGGAGAGGCCAGACGAGAACGGGGGGGGCTCTCGTGAGGGCCAGGCTCTGTCGCGCGAGTGCCATGAAGGGTGACCACTGCGGCTCAAACTGCGCCTAACCAGCGCGGCTTGAGCATGGGGCCTGGCGCCGAGGCCGCTGGCGGGGCGAATTTGCAAATAATGTCGGAAGGTTTTTCTCCCGGTGAATACTGATCTTTGGGCGACCCTGCGTGACAGAGGATTTCTGAACACATTTGTAAGAAGACTGCTATATAGATCGGCACATTCGTTGCCCAAGGCGCTGCTCGCAATCTCCTCGTTCATGTCGTCGCGCGTCTCAGAAGATTGCGCCGTGCGGCTGTATGCGCACACGACCGTTAACTGCATTTCCAGCGTCAGCGCCCGCGACGCGGCCCGCCGATGAATTTCCAACGATTGCTTGCCTCGCTGGACAATGTTGGGGGATTCTTTCTCTCGGCGATAAAAAGGCTCCCTGGGCGACATGTACAAAATCCACGTGTATCTTCAGCGACAGCGCTAGCGGCGCGGCCCGTAGTCGTTCTCCTTCTAATTTTGGGTGGTCGGGATCATGTTGTTTTTTGTCGTTTCTCTCCAAGTGAATCGTGCGCTGTGGGCGACCCGGCACGACAGACACTTCTACAATAAGATCGCAGTATACATGGGCATTTGTTTTGCCAAGGGCGTTGCTCGCCATCGCCTCCCTCGTCGTGTTTGTACGAGGATCGCACAGCGTCGGCACCCGCGACGCCGCCCGCCAAATAGTTCCCCATCCTTGCTCGCCGTGCTGGATCATGTTCTGGGGATGCTTCTCTTGGCGAAGGAATGCCTCCTGGGCTACCCTGTGCGACGGAAGAATTCGGACCACATGAACATTGCGATGCGATGCGACGGCCCTTGGAGGCAGGAGGGGGGGCCCGCCTGCTCCGGCATTGCGCCGGGCCGCAACAATAATGAACAACATCTGATTACAGAAGGCAATGAAGGACAGTGCAAGATGGGAAGATGGGTGAGACGACAGTGAAAAGACAAGAGCACGTGTGGCTATGCATGAGAATCAATCGCAAGCGGCGCACAAGAGGAAGAAACACCAGAACTCTGCAACATGATGTGCAATGGCAACCTCAGATTTCAGTCCAGCGCTTCTTCTGCCCGCCTTGTGAACGGCAGGGCAAGAACCGATGCCACGGAATCCAGTCGAGGAGCCGCGCGTTCCATCGGGTGTCTTCGCACAGAGCACTCCTGGCGGCAAGCTCCCGCTTGCACTTCTGTGAAAGCACAGTCCACTCTTCAACGTGGTGTTTTGCAGCTAAGCCCAGGCATACGTGAGTGGCACGTCGTATGTACTCCACCCAGTCCTCGTCGGGTCGCCGGTTTGTGCCCACCATGCTCCGCAGCATTCTCTTCTGTGCAGACTGAAGTTTTCTCTCCTGGTCCTTCTTTAATGTTCACGTTCTCGCATGAATAAAATAAATGCAATATAGATCGCATTCGTCGCCGAAGCTGGTTCTCAAAATCAGTAGCGTGCACGTGCAAAGGGATTGGAATGTTAATCGCATTCTTCGCCGAGGCTGATTTCCACAGTCAGTCGCGTGATTTTCCTTTGCTTGCAAGGGAGTTGCAACGCAGGCCCGTGCATCTACAATCTACATTTGCAGCTTCGTCGTCGGCGCCCGCGTCGCCGACGACGATGTAAATGTAGAATGTGGAAGGCCCGCGCGGGGACTGAGTTTCAACTGTCTTTCCCAGGATGGAGTTTTCAGGAGGAAGTTTTTGAACGCCAAATTTGTGAATCAAGCTTTTCCATGAGAGCACTGCTGGCGGGCGCCGCGGGAAAAACAATTTCCACCTATCGGAGAAGGCCGCCGAGAAAATACACCTTATTGAAAGGGGCGTTCTAAAGACAACTCCCGGTTAGCGGAAGGGTGGCGTGCTTCTCCCTGCCAGGAAGTGCGCGGCCAATGGCCATGTCGTCGCCCTGCAGAACCAGCGCTCGCACCCGCGTTGCGAGCGGCCGTGGCGATCTCCCATGAACGCATGTGGTCGGGCTGACATTCAAGCAGTGGCCAAACGTCCTGGCTTGCGTATAGGCCCACCAAACCATATTATCAAGCCTTTTGTGATTTGCGCGACGTGTACTTAAAACAAGTACGGCAGAAACTGTCTTGTTTTCAGGGGTTGGGACTATGTTCTCAGAGCAGTGGCCTGTAGAAATGCCGGGACGCTCGGTCCCTGTTCGCAAGATGGGGGGAACGTAGCATGGGATATCGCCCATTATTCCAGATTGTTTTAAAATCTTCCGGATTCCTCCATCTTCCTCCAGATTCTTCCAGATCTTCCATAATCCGCAAGGTTCTTCCAGATTCTTCCAGGAACCTGGAATGATCTGAACTAATCCGCCGGAGCGCGGGGCCAGGACTAATCCGGAGGAGTCTGTAGGAATCTGGAAGAATCTGGACGAATTTGGAGGATTCTGGAGGAGCCTGGCGGAACCAAGACCCATCTGGAGGAATCTGGAGCGATCTGGACTAATTTGCCGGAGCGCGGAACCAGGATTAACCTGGAGGAACCTGGAGGAATCTGCAAGAATCTGGAAGAGTCTGGAGAATTCTGGAGGAATCTGGGGGAATCTGGAGGAATCTGACAGGATCTGGAGTGATCTGGTCAAATCCGCCGGAGCGCAGAACCAGGACTCATCTGGAGGAGCCCGAGGGAATCTGGAGGAATCTGAAAGAATCTGGAGGATTTGCGGAGAATTCGGAGGAATCCGAATTCTCCGCAAACTGCGGAAGGAAAGAATCTGGAGAATTCGAAGGAATCAAAAGGAATTCGGCAAAATTCCAAGAATTATAAGGAATGTTGTGGAAAACAACCATTTTTGCACCCCATGTCCCAATCTCTGACGGCCCCGGGGCCCGTCGAGGACCCCCAGGAGGCCGACAGCAGCCCAACAAATCTCCCGTCGTGATGCACCGCTGCTGCTTCGGCGATGCGGCGCGATCCTCCGGAACCGTCTACTCGGACCTCAAATTTGGGCGGCCCGTGCAAATCCACGAGCCTCGCGCCCTCCGGGCAGCTTTGGGCGCCGAGGCAGGGCGTCCTTGCCCCTGAGCGCTTCTGCCCGCAGCTCGGTGGAGCTCTGCTCCAAGAGCTCGCAGCGCGCGGCCTCGCACGGGCTTAGAGGGGGTGTGCCGTGAGCATCCTGGATCGTGGGGTCGCGGCGAGATTGCCATACTCCTCGTCCCCGTCCTCGTCCTCGTCGTGTTCCTGCTCCGCCCTGCCTCGTCATTTCTCTCTGTCTCTGTCTCTCTCTCTCTGTCTCTCTGTCCCTCCCTCTGTCGAAAAAGCAGTTGTTGCATATGTCTGTCCATCTCGTTCATGCCAACGTCCGTACTCAGATCATGCCACTTGTGAGTCGCAGTCGTCATTCCATAACTTAATCTGCTGATCCTGATGATTTTCAAAGTTGGTAGCTTTTTGTCGTAGCGCTTTTGATTTCTTCTCCTGGTGAGACCGACGAGGCTGACGAGACTTATGTGCATGCGGTGTCGTGACGTTTTGGTTGCCTCATCGGCGTCCGCTCAAAAACAGCGAGCGTCGATTGCCACCCGCCGCTCTCGATGGCCTCCGAAGCAGGGAGGCTGGCAACTGCCAACCTTTCTTGCTCATAGCGCTAAGGAAGAAATGAACAACTCGACGCTCAATCCCCGATGTAGAACTACCTGTCAGGCCTGAACCGGATCGAACCGCGAAATCGAATCGGATCGGAGTCGGACCGAATCGCCAGCGAATCGCCCCGGATCGCATCGCAATTGGATCGCCGTGCCCGGCCTCTGGCTGGCCCTTGCCGATGTCACCGAATCGAGCCGAGTCGGATCGGATCGGAGTCGGACCGAATCGCCAGCGAATCGCCCCGGATCGCATCGCAATTGGATCGCCGTGCCCAGCCTCTGGCTGGCCCTTGCCGATGTCACCGCATCGAGCCGAGCCGGACCGAAACGGACTCGCGGGCCAAGACCGTGGATCGAATCGCACCGGCTCGGATCATAGGCGGCCCTCCTTGTTCTACGGGCAGCTGCAGCACAGGGGTACACAGGAGGAGGAGGAGCAGGAGGAGGAGGAGAGGGAGGAGGAGAAGGAGGAGGAGGAGGAGGAGGAGGAGGAGGAGGAGGAGGAGGAGGAGGAGGAGGAGGAGGGGGGAGGAGGAGAGGGAGGAGGAGGAGGAGGAGGAGGAGGAGAGGAGGAGGAGGAGGAGGAGGAGGAGGAGGAGGAGGAGGAGGAGGAGGAGGAGGAGGAGGAGAGGAGGAGAGGAGGGGGGAGGAGGAGGAGGAGGAGGAGGAGTAGGAGAAGGAGCCGTGGGACGCCGTGTCCCGCCCTACGCCTACGAGGAGGGAGGAGGAGGAGGAGGAGGAGGAGGAGGAGGAGGAGGAGGAGGAGCTCCCTGCTGAGGCGGTATCTGGGGGCCTCTGGCAAGCTCCCCCTCTCCCTCCCGACCTCCCAAACCACCCACTCACGTCGCTCTCTTTCGCTCGCCGTGTCGCGGACAGCTCTCCAGAGCGGTGTCTTGGCAATATGCCGATCCCAGAAATCGCGACCCTTCCCCGAGGCTGGCTTTGAATCCGGAGTCGCTGTTTGATGGTCCCGGGGCCTGGCGAAGACCTCCAAAGGCCGAAAGCGGCTGACAACCCACCGCCGTGATTTCTGTTACAACGCGAGCATGTGTGGGCCCGATGCCCACACCACCACCTCCCATGTCGCCCTCTCTCGCTCGCTGTATCTCCCCTCCGGAGCAAGCATTCAAGGCATGCCCGCGGGCTGGTGGCTCGCAGTCGCTGCTCTGCTTCGGAGTTGACAACGGCCTCGAAGGCGGCCACTGCCGGGGAAGGACGCGGTCGCTTGGCACGCACTGCCCCCAAACATGCTCGCGCCGTGTGAAGACCACGACTGGAGGTTCTTGATTGTTTTCCGGCCCTCTGGGGGCCCTCGCTGAGCCCCAGGGCCGCCCGAGAACGACTCGGGACGAACAACCGGCCCTGGGATTAAGTCGGGCCTGTCCCCCTACAAGGGGATTTTGGAGGAAAAATACAAGTAGTCCAAAAATACTCCGTCAAAAAATAATAAAAAAATAGTCCCCAGACTATTTTTTGCCTATTCTTGAATATTCCTCCAGGGACTGGCCCGACTTCACCCTGGGAGCACGACGTCGCGTTTCTGGGCCTGCACCACTGGGGGCCTGATCTCGGCGCCCCGCCGAGGCGGGAGGAGCGAGAAAGGCCGAGCCCTCTCAGGATGCGGCGGGGCTTCTCGGCACCGCGCTCTGGCCTTCTGCGAGGCCCCCCCGTGCCGTGGCGTGCGCGTGCCGTGCTCGAGCTCCAGAGGGCGGCGAGGGTGCCCGTGGCGTGCGCGCGTGCCTCGTCGTGCGTGCTTCCCAGAACGAGACGCACCGTGCCGTGCACGCGCCGTCGCGCAGTGCACGCGCCGTGCACGTGCCGCGCCCGCGCCCCGCGCTGGCTCGAGGGTTCGAGTCTCGTGCCCTGTGGCCTCGGAGAGGGCTCGGAGAGCCCTGCAGAAGGTCCAGAAGCCTTTTGCGCCTCCTGGGAGAAGGAGGAGGAGGAGGAGGAGGAGGAGGAGGAGGAGGAGGAGGAGGAGGAGGAGGAGGAGGAGGAGGAGGAGGAGAGAGGAGGGAGGATCGAGGAAGAGCGAGGATCGAGGATGAGCGAGGAGGATCGAGGAGGAGGATCGAGGATCGAGGATCGAGGAGGAGGCAAAGGCCAGGCCAGCCCAGCCCCGCCCTGCCTTCCCCACCGGGCGCGCCGCCGAGTCTCGCTCTCGGGCCATCGCTCGGGCCTCCGGCGGCCGTTTTCGGGACGCCTCGCGCACCCCCGGGAGCGCTCTCGGCGAGGCGCAGCTGGCGGAAGACACCCCGAGGCCGGGAAGCCTGCGGGAACCGACGATGGCGGTCAGAGTGCCGACTTCCCTCCCCAGTCCTCCGGCGTCGTGATCTCTTCGCAACGTGGACCCCATACTGAGGTGTAGACCCTCTCTCCTCAAGACCACGTTCTTCCCCCCTCCCCCGGCGCTCCCCGGGGTCCGGCAAGGTCCCCCAGGCGCCGAAGATTGCTGGGTAAGGTTCGGTCGGGCATGTCCTCCGACAGGCGGATTGTGGAAGACAACAAACAAAATAGTAAAACAAGTGTCAAACATAGTCAAGAGAGCACAAAGAAACCGTCACCATCCAATGTATGACTATTCTCGAATACTCCTCCTGTAGACGGACACGCCAACCTTAACGCTAAGGGCCCCTAGGGGTCGAAGAAGCCTGCCGTCGCGCGACTCTTTCACGACTAGAGGCCTCCTGGATGGGGTCCGAGTAGATGAGGTCGGAGGATCGCGCTGCATTGGCGATGCATCGGCGATGCGGCGCGATCCTCCGCCCCCATCTACTCCGACCCCATCCAGGAGGCCTAGAACTGGGTTGGGCATGTCCTCCTACCAGCGGATTTTGAAAGGAAAATGAAGCACAATCAACAAATACTAAAACGGTTCAAACATGCTTACAAACTCGTCCCCTGACTATGGTTTGACTATTTTTTCATATTCCTCCTGTAATTGGAGAGGGACGGGCCCGACTTAGCCTTGAACGACGCGAGAGGGGGTCTGGGTCCTCCGCTTGACCGACCGCCGCCGCCCGTGCCGGAGGAGGAGGAGAAGGAGGAGGAGCGGCCCCTGCAGGCATGTGGCGGACTTTCGGCCGACACGCCTCACCCCGGTGGCCATGTGTCCCAAAGAAGGGACATTGCCGGGGTTGCGGATCCAGCGGGAGGAGGAGGAGGAGGAGGAGGAGGAGGAGGAGGAGGAGGAGGAGGAGGGGGGGGGGGAGGAGAGGGAGGAGGAGGGGGAGGGGGAGGAGGGAGGGAGGGAGGGAGGGAGGGAGGGAGGGAGGAGGGGGAGGAGGAGAGGAGGAGGGGGGAGGAGGAGGAGGAGGAGGAGGAGGAGGAGGAGGAGGAGGAGGAGGAGGATACGACGCTATAGGGAAATGTCGAGGAGGAGGAGGAGGAGGAGGAGGAGGAGGAGGAGGAGGAGGGAGGAGGAGGAGGAGGAGGAGGAGGGAGGAGGTCCGACCCCATCCTAGGAGGTCTGGAGAACGACGCTAGAGGGGGTCTGGGTCCTCCGCTCGTCCCACTGCCAACGCCCGTGCTGCTGCTCCGCTCCCCCCAGCCTGGGGCCGCGCCTCCCCCCTCCAGGGCAGGAGCAGTCGGCATCGGAGTGGGCACTCGGCTCGAGTCGAGATCCACAGGCGACCTCCTCCGACCGAACCGACTCTCCTCGGATCGAATCCTCCTCTCCTCTTCTCCTCGAATTCCTCTCGGATCGAATCCTCCTCTCCTCGGATCGGATCGAGATCGGCATGGATCTACTCAAACCGATCGAATCGACCGGAGGCCGGGCATATCCTCCTACAGGCGGTTTCGGAGGAACATCAAATAATAGCCGATAAATGCTCAAAACGAATCAGAAAGAGTAGAACATTCGCCCGCCCAGAAATGCTCAAAACTACTCAGAAAGCGCAGACAAATCGTCCCCAGACTATTTTCTACTATTTCTGCATTTTCCCCCTGTAGAAGGACATGCCCGGCTGGAGCCGACATGCGCATCGGATCGGGCTGCATCGGCACGGAGCCGTCATCGAATCGGACTGGCCGCGCCAGGATGCGCAACCGCGCCGTGCAGGCCTCGGGCCACCCCGGACCGCTGGGCCGGGAGATCGGCACCGAAACGGGTCGAGCTGGCCGAAGCCGATGTCGAAGGGGATCGGTCCAATCGAAGGGGGCCCTGCCCCCCGGCCCGCCGCGGATCCCTCTCCAGGCGCGCCTCCGCCTCCAGCGCCCGCCGCCAGCGCCCGCCCGCCTCCACCGCCCCGGCGGTCCTGGCCGCTATCAGCTCCGCCTCCTGGCAGCGGCGGGCGTCTGGAGAGCGACGACGGCGACGGCCTCCGACCGAGGATCGACCGACAACAACAACAGAATGTGGGGGAGCCGGGGAGGAGCAGAAGGGAAGAGAGGTAGCCAAAAACTTGGGTAGGAGCTCGTAGGGTCGGCCAGCGCCACAGCCATTGCCATGTTCGCAGTGAGGCCGCGAGAGGAGTGGGCTCTCGCGCGCCCTCTGGCCGGCATTCGCGGGCCAGCTGCAGCAGGGACACGCCGTGCAAGTGAAACTCGCGTCGCGTCCATCTTCGGTAGACAGCCGCGACGACCGATGAACAAGGACGACGATCAACTGACGACCACCACCGCGACGACCACGACGACGACAACGGCGGGCTCAGTCCCTCGGAGCTCTCGGGGCCACCGAGGGAGGCACCCAGTGGTGAGTCGAAGACTTGCTGTACACGGCAAGTTCACGTGGTGACGACCCTGGCGATGGTCTTTGACACTGCCCAAATTTTGTTCAACCCTTTGAACGACAAGCATCGTTCCGTATTGGTCGGCTCTGGGCTGCTGGCAGCGTTCAAACTTGACCGCCCGTGGCGGGGTCGCTGCCGCGTCGACACGGCACGACGCGAACCTTCTGTGCTGAGACGCAGGGTCTAGCGCCAGGTCATACGGGCTTGGGCGCATCGCGGGCCATGAGGCTCTATTCGCGAGGTCTTGGCGGCACGTCGGAGGACTGCGCGATGCTGGGCGCGCCTCCTTCTGCCCCACGGAACGTCTCTGGCGGTGCCGACCCGAGCGACGAACCTGGATGCCACCGGAAACATTTCGTGCGGGCCCAGGGCCCCCCATGACTGCAAATACTCCTGAACGGGGCCACGGAGGCGAACGTTTTCTTATCTCTTATTCGGCATTTCGACACTGAGCGGAAGGGAGGGGGGGAGGGGGTCTGGCTCCGGACCTCTGCTTAACGCGTCTGTCTGCAACGGTGCGCCCTACAGTCGAACTTGGAGAGGGCACCGTTGCCACAGAAATGCAGGAGGCATGGGTCGCAAGAAACAGGACACGAGGGTACCCTTGATCTGGCAGGGTCGACCTATTAATCCAGGCCGCCTGTACGTGGGAGACTCCGCATTCTTGGAACGGGCGCCAAACGCGACCAAGACCTACTCCAAGGGTGGGGGGGAGGGGGTGCAAGGGCCCGCGCCGATCGGCAACACAAGGAACAAGACGACGATCGCGAGCACGGCCCGCGTGCGGAGGGACCCAGAAGCACCCAGACAGCCGCGGATGTGTTTGTCGTCGCGGCTACAACGGCAGGTGGTCGTCATACTTTTCAGGGAGCACCCCTCTTTTTGTTCGACGCGGATCACATGCGCGACCGACGCGCCGCCGCACATCGTGCTGCGACGAGGCTGAGGCCAGGCGCGCCCAACGCACAAGCTGAGCAAACACTGCTTGCTCAGCTCGCAATGCGCAGGGCCCCGACCGCCTCCGCAGGTTGGCCCCGTGCATTTTTTCGGTTTCGTGCGTGGTTTCTTCGCCACATGCTCAAGGATGCTCCTCGATGGCCCTCGCCGAAGGAAAACATGCACACGTCCGAGCGATGCCGAGCAGGGGGCCGCCTCTCGCCCCGGGATCCGCCCTGCGACGGCCTGGGGCTTACCAGCCTGGAACCTATCCCTGTCCCTAAGCTGGGCACCCCCTCATCACACTGCCAATCTTAGGGGTTCCCTTATTTTTCGAGGGCGCCTCCCTTGGATTGTCATCGCCTTTTGGCGCGTCAATCTTAGGGATAGGGATAAGCTCGAGGCTGGTAAAGGGGGCCCGCAGGCCGCCGCCCGAGGGCCGCAGCCGCAGAGAGAAACACCGCCCGCGGACCATCGTCGGAGGCCTGGGCGCCACTGTCAGGGGAGGCCTAAGCGACCCCTGGCACACCAGCCCCTTTTCCGTGGCGCCCCCCTCTCGACTCGCCCCACTTGCCGTCGCTCGGAGGTCCATTTCCTGAGCATATTTTTTCGGTTTCGTGCGGTTTTTTTTTGTTGCTCGATGCTCCAGGATGGTCCTCGATGGTTCTCGCCGGGAAAAAATGCACACGTCCGAGCGATGCCAAGCCCATGGCGTATATGTGTGCGGCCGGAGGGGAGGGAGGCCTGACAGGCGAGGGTGACGTCACGGCAGTGGATGGTTTGCGAGGGGTCGGTGAGGCCGCGCCGGACACTGATTGACTATGAGCCGAAAGCGGTCCCCGTGGGCCGGAGTCGAGGAGTACCCGCCGCGGCCGCGCCCCGCCCATGCGTGTGGGCGCACGCGCCTGGGGGCGGGGGGCGCCCTCAGAACTCGTCCTCGAAGGCCTTGTCGGAGGAATCTCCGCCTCCTCCTCCTCCTCCTCCTCCTCCTCCTCCTCCTATTCCTCCTCCTCCTCCGCCGCCTCTTCCTCCTCTCCTGGACCGTCCCCCTCCCCTAGCCTCGACCCGCCGCTTCGAAAAGCCGCACCGTCGGAGACCCCCGAAGATGGGAGGTCTGGGGAGCTCCCGCAAGCATGGGCGTCGGGTCTGGGTCTGGGTCTGGGGGGGGGGGGGTCGGGCGAAACTCGGGAGGGCTGGAGGCCTTGGCAAGGTCCGGGGGGCGCTGGGGGCCCTGGGGGTGGGGCCTCTAGGAGGCGGGGTGGCCTGGAGAGTCCGCCGCCCTCCTCCCCCTCCTCCTCCTGGTGGCGGCCGGATGGCCCCAGGCTCCCCGGCACCGTCGGAGGCCGGTCGCTCGCCGCAGAACAACTCACAGGTCCGCGCGGGGTTCTCGGATCGGCGCTGACCCCCCCCCTTGGCGCGCGCAGCGCGCCAGGGGCGGCGCCGGAGGCGCCGCCAGGGGGCCCCAGCGCCGATGCGACAAATTCGCGCGGACCTCCGAGTTATTATGTTTAGTCATGTTATGGCTCGTTCCCCGACAGAAGGCTCCTCGAGGGCCCTCGCCGAGGAAAGGTGCACACGTCCGAGCGGTGCCGAGTCGAAGATCTGGGAGGCCCGCGCCCCGCGGCGAGCCCCGAGGATGCTCGCGAGAGCGGCGCGGGCCTCTGCGCCGCCCCGCCCCGCGCGGCCACTCGCGGGCGGGCGCCCCGAAGCTCCGGGGGCTGGCGCGGGCCGCTTCCGTGCAGAACCGCGGAGGGCCTCGGCCGAACGGGCTGCGGCTTCGGGGATCTGCGAACCCCAAGGCCTCCAATGGCCCGAGAGGAGGCCACAAAGGCCGCCAGAGGCCTCTCAAACTGCTCCAAGGAAGCTCCAGAGGCATCCAAAATTGCCTCGAGAGGGCCCCAATGACCCCCAGAGGCTTCCAAGAGACTCCCAAAGAAAACGGCCCGCGAAATCGGGGATCAACTGACCCGGGTCAATCCAGACCCGAGTCAGTCAAGCTTTGCAGGATCCTGCTTGGTCCTGCAAGATCCTGCGTGATCCTGCGCCCAAGCCCAGGGTCAATGCAGCCCTGGCTCTGCGAGTTCCTGCCAGATCCAGCGCTCTGACTGACCCCCGTCTGTATTGACCCCCGTCTCTTGAGCTCCGACGGCTGCCAGGGCTGCGCACAGCCCTCGGGCATGCTCGCGTCGTGACGTGGACAAAAATCACTACGGACGGCTTGTGGCCATATGTTCGGCATCCAGAAGGGCCGTCGCCGGGCCCCGGGACCGGACCGTCAACAGAACGACCAGGGATGAAAAACCAGCCTTCCGAGGACTCCGCACAGACGAAAAGCAGAACGTCGCACGCATGTCCGGGGCAGCACCTGACAACCAAAGCAAGCACGAGCCCGACTCACGCCGACTGTGGCAGCTGGAGATGAGGCTTCAGGATTTGTGCCTGACGCCTCCCTCCGCCAAGCCCGACATATTGTCGGCAGCGTCAATTTAGGATACCGCGCGTTCTTGCTAATTAGATGGTGCTAGTAAGCAGCGATTGGCTCTTCCCGATGCTTCGGGGTGAGGTGATCTAGTCGTTCTACCTGTCTGTATATGAGTGTAGAGATTTACGCGAAGGAGAGAGAGAACAAGAAAGGGAGCACGAGAGAGGAGCACTTACAAAATTATATAATATAACAGCCAGCGCTGGCCCTAAACAATAGGTTCTTGCAGTCTACGCGGTGCAATCTATGTGGTGCAATGTATGCTCTGTGACCTACGTCATGCAATTTATTCGGTGCAACTGGCGCGGTGCAAGCAATGTAATGCAATCTAGGAGGTGCAATCTAAGTGGTGCAATTTTCGCGCGGCAACCTATGCGATGAAATCTATGTGGTGCATTACATGCGGTGCAATCTACGCGCGGCAACTTGTGTAATGCAAGCTATGCGGTGCAGTGTATGCGACGGCGACGGTGGCGACGGGCGGCACCGCCCGCAAAAGCCGCCACTCGCCCCGAGCGGCGGCGACGGCGACGGCGACAGCGGCGACGGGCGGCACCGCCCGCAAAAGCCGCCACTCACCCCGAGGTGAGTAAGAATCCCTACGTGCAAACACGGTTTAAGGAATATGTGTAGAGAGAACGGGGAAACAAGAGAGAGAGAGAGAGAGAGAGAGACTGAGAGAGAGAGAGAGAGAGAAATAGAGAGGGAACGAGACAGAAAAAACCGAGAGAGAGAGATAGAGAGAGAGAGAGAGAGAGAGAGAGAAAGAGAGAAACAGAGAGAGAGAAAACGAGAGACAAAGAGCGAGAGAGAAACGAACATTGAACATATTCGCTGGTAGGGGGGGCGGGGGAGAAGGATGAGCGACAACGAGAGATCATGGCTCGAATCACGATGGCCAGCCAGGGGTCAGTCGTCATGATGCGATGAATCTATATATATATATATATTTGATCGAATTTGGATTGGTGAACAGAAGCGCAGCGAGAACACAAATATAGCATCCTCCTACCCCTCGGCAAAAATCATCATCAATGCTGGCTGAGCGGTTTGCCTATTCACTTGCGCGCCCAAGGTTTGATGGAAATGGGCGCGGCATAGTTGATGCACCCCCCCATTCACCGTCGGGCATCGTAGACCAGCGCAGTTCCCGTGCCCAGAACTTGTTCCGATTTGTTTCGGCACTGGGGGGCCCAACAACTTATGACGTTACTTGTGTTGAAGGGGTGGAGGTATGAGAAGCCATTCGGGGGGACCCGCGGGGAGACCAAGACGCGCAAGCCACACGACGATTGCTGGAACTCCACCAGGCGTGTTTCGCGCGCTTCTCTTCCTGCGGCGAAATGGTTTTCAACGCTGGGGGGGGGGGAAACGCGCATCGATACACCGCTACTCCCTGGGCTCCACGAGATGCGTCATGCAGAACTTCGAGGCGGATCCAGCCGTCGTGACATGGGCCACGCAGGACACCCAAAGAGGCGAAAGCGAGGCAAGGGTAGCGGCATGTCCCCCTGCAGTAAAACTTGATGGCATAACGGGATTGGCTGTCCTCCGCCAGCTCGCTGCACAAGTGCGCGGCGCCTCGCTCCGCCTCGCGCGCCGCGTCGGCCTGCGCCTTCGCGGGCCGTGCAAAAGCACGCGACAGGTTCCTCGAACACAACCGCGTCCAATCTCACGGGCGATGGCTCTTATCAGCAAGGGAGATCATGAGAACCAGCGCGGGAAACGCGTGCGCAAACACACTTTCAATCCAGCCGCCAAATGAAGTCACTACAGCGACAAAAAAAACAAAACAAAAATAGAAAAAACAAAAAAAGAAAAAAAAAAAAGAAAAAAAAAAGGAAAAAAAAAGCGAAAAAAAAAACGACACAAAAAAATGCGAAAAAAAACAAAGAAAAAAAAGAAAAAGAAAAAAAGAAAACGAAAAAAAACCAAAAAAAAAAAAAACAAAAAAAAAAAAAAAAAAAAAAACCAAAAAAAAAAAAAAAAATAAAAAAAAAAAAAAAAAAAAAAAAAAAAGACAAAAAAAAAAACAAAAAAGAAAGAAAGAAAAAAAAAGAAAAAAAAAAAAAAAAAAACGCAAAAAAAAAAACAAAAAAAAAAAAAAAAAACAAAAGAAAAAACAGGAAAGGGACAGGAGTCGTAGAAAAAAAAAAAGCAGAAAGAAGAAAGCGCTGGGGCGGGGCACGCGAACCGTCCATCCCACCTGATGTTGGCAGATGGGAAGAATCCCCGGGCGACTCACGTGCAGAAAAAGGTGGTGGAACAAACGCACGCACACGCGCACACGCACACGCGCACACACACAAGCACACACGCACACGCACGCACGCACGTACGCACGCACGCACACACACACACCCACACGCAAACCCCCACACACACACCCACACGCAAACACACACACACACACGCACGCGCGCACGCACGCACACGCACACGCACACGCACACGCACACGCACAAACACACGCGCACGCACATGCACACGCACATGCACATGCGCGCACACACACACACACACGCACACACACGCACACACGCACGCACACACACACGCACACACACACACACACTCGCACGCACACGCGCACGCACGCACGCACGCAAACACGCACACACACACACTCACATCCAGCCGCGCACGCACACACACATTCGCATTCACACGCGTATACAGTCATACACACACATCCACGCGCGCACGCACACAAATGCACGCGCGCACGCACGCACGCACGCACACACGCAAAGACACACACGAACACGCACGCGCACGCGCACACGCACACACACAGGTACACACACAGGCACGCACACGCATACGAACACTGAATTTGGCGTCGCGGCCCAGCTCGCAACGACAAGGCGGATCGCGCGCGCGTCCAGGAACGCCCGAACCCTCAAAAACCACCGCGAGTCCCGGTGCAACCGGAGCCATAAACGCATGCGCGCACTCGCGCGCGCGCATGCACGCGCGCACGCGCACACTTATACACATACATACACACGCCCACACACACACACGCGCACACGCACACACGCACACGCGCAAACACACACACACACGAACAAACGCACGCAAACACGCAAACAAACACATGCACGCATACGCCCGCCCGCCCCCCCAAACAGACACGCAAGCACACACACACACGCACGCACACACACACACACACGCACGTACACACCTACCCTTACGCACGCACGCACGCACGCACACCTTCACCTTCACACATACACATATTTACATACACCTGCATACACACACGCACACCGACATAGCAACACATCCGCGCATACGAAGACACACAAACAAACAAACATACACACCCATAAACACGCACAAGCACACACACAAACGAACACACACACACACACACACACACGAAAAAACGCACACACACACACACTTTAGAACGAGGGGGGTCCGAGCCTGGGGGCGTTCCAGTCGAGGTCCAGTAAGAAATCATGCTCCTTCCTCATCGGGCTCGTATTGCCTTGGACAGGTCGCTCCTGTCTCTCTCGCAGGTGCTGCGGCACGCGGCGGGGTGCAGCAACACTCGCCGCAGTGCAATGCGAGGTCCAAGCTGGTGCTGCACGCCAGCGTGGCCGGCCCTCCGTCAGAGCCCAACGTGGCCTCCATGTCGGTGCGGCTTGGTCGCAACAGCTGTTTGATGGAGCTGGTTGCAATTGTTCAGAACTGAGAGGAATGGCGTGAGCAAAGCTCTTCCGTCTCCAGCTTCCACTGATTTCATCGCCCCTACGACATACTATCTCTTGACATCGAACTGGCTCCCATAAGCGACGGCGTTTCAAGAAGCAACCCCCTTCGTACTTCTGGGCGTCCACATGCGCGTGTATGCAGTCCGTCCGCACGGTCTGGCTGTTCGTCTTCATCAAGTCCTTGGCCGGAACCGAGTTCAATTCAATAGTTGGGCCAGTGCCTGTCGGATATTCCAATGTTCAATCTGATTCGATGGCGTCATCGCCAATCCCTCGGTCAACCACCCCTCCTTCCTCCTTCCTGGCATGGGGGAGACTGCAGTGCGTGGCGCAGTGTGGTGGTGACGCAGTTGTTGGGGGCACTGCCATCATGCTGACATGTTCCGCCTCATCGTCTTCTTCGGGCTGGCTCTTGCCGCAGATATCGAGGTTCGTGGGATGTAGATACCCAGTGGGTGTTGTCCATGACGAGTTGCCCTATCGAGCGGTCTCCCTCTTGTTCTACACATTCCTTTGGCGCCTCGCAGGGGGTCTGATCGTGCAGTGCGACCCACATGCGTAGCATTCCGTGGCCGAGAAGATCTCCATCGTGAAGTCGCAGGGTGAGTGCCGCTGGTTGCTTCGGAAGGGCGGCCGTCGAGTTGGCAGATAACTGCTGGCTCCGACTTCTGCTTTGCGGCTAGGTTTATCATCTTTGTGGGATCTGCGTCTTCCTAAGGCTGGACATTGTCGTGGGTGCAGCCGGTGCGATTACACATTCAAGCCCTAAAACTGTGGTGGCGTACAAGTTTGAGGAGGTCCTTGGGATGTTCATAGTTCTTAGTGCTTGAGGCGCGAGGTCGAGCATGAGACGGGACGTTAGCTTGGTGTTGTTCACGCTCGGGGGCAGCAATTCGTGTTCATGTTCGTAGGCGACAATTTCGTGGTGAAGGGTCACGCTCGTGGGCGGCAGTTTCGAGGTGTCCGGTACTGGTGGGCGACAGCTTCGTAATGTTCAGGATCGTTGGCGGCAACTTCGTGGCCTTCACGCTCGTGGGCAGCAGCATCGGGGTGTCCGAGCTCGATGACGGCTGCTTCGTGGTCGTCGCGCCCGGGGGCGGCGGTTTTGCGGTGTTCACTCGTGGGCAACCGCTTCGAGGTGTTCACGCTCCTGGGCCGGCAAACTGCGTGGTGTTCACGCTCGTGGGCCGCAACTTCGTGGTGTTCATGCTCGCGGGCGGCAATTTCGTGGTGGTCGCTCTCGTGGGCTGCAGCTCCGTGGCGTTCGCGCGCGTAGGCGGCACCGTCGTGGTGGTCACGCTCGTGGGCAGTAGCTCCGAAATGCTCACGCTCGGTGGCGGCAGCTTCGTGTTCATTGCGCCCAGGGGCCGGCAGCTTCGTCGACACACGCACACGCGCGCACGCACGCACGCACGGTCACGCACGCACCCACACACCCACCCAGGCACGCGCGCACAAACGCACACACACAAGGAAACACGCGCACACACGCGCACACCTACAAGCGCTCTCACGCACACACGTACACACTCAGAAACACACCCACACACACGCACACACACATATTCGAACGCAAGCACGCGCACGCGCACATACACACAAGCACAGACACACCACACACACACCCACACACACACATCTTGTTTGGCGGTAGCAGCCTCGCACTAGGCGCCAGGGCGGAGCTGGTAAAACACAAACACACCCACACACCAACACACCCGCACACACACACCCACACACGTTTTCACACGCACACACGCACACACGCACACACACGCGCACACACACGGACACACACGCGCGCACACGCACACACACACACACACGTAGACGCGCACACACACACACACGCACACAAACAAACAAACGCACACATACGTACACACACAGACACGCACACACACACACACGCACGCACGCACGCACACACGCACACACACGGACAAACACAGGAGTGCGATGCCGCGCACACTAGCACAACATGAATCTGTACGCGCCAAACACACGCAAACACTTCACACACACACGCGCACACACACACACACACACGCACGCACACGCACCCACACTCACACACACGCACACAACGCACACACACAGCCACACAGAACCACACACCACGCACGCACGCACGCACGCACGCACGCCTATCTCGCACGCACGCACATAACGCGCACACACACAACACCACGCACGCAGCACGCACGCACGCACGCACACCACACTCACACGCATCAGCCACGCACGCACGCACCGCACGCACGCACGCAGCACGTATGCACCGCACACACGTATGCACGCACGCAGCACGCACGCACCCGCCACCACCCCAAATCGAGCACGACACCCCACCCACACCCCACACACACACACACACGATCCACACACGCCCCTGCAAACGCACACACACCACCCACGACACGCACGCACACACACACACACGCACACACACACACACGCGCACGCACCACCACACACACAAATGCACGCAAACCACACACCAAATACACGGCACGCACACAACGGACCACACACACACACACTCACAGCACACACACACACACACGCACACGCACACACGCACCCACACACGCACACACACGCACACGCACACGCACCAACACACACACGGACACGCACACACACACACGCACACGTACACACACGCACTCACACGCACACTTACACACACGCACCCACACGCACACGTACACGCACGCACCCACAAGCACACGCACGCACGCACACACACACACGGACACACGCACACACACGCACACCCGCACAGACACACACACACACAAACACACACAACCACACACAACCACACACACAACCACACACACACACACGCACACATTCACACACACATATTCACACACACAGTCACACACACATTCACACACACATTGACACACACACACACATTCACACACATATTCACACACATATTCACACACATATTCACACACATTCACACACACATTCACACACATACACACATTCACACACACATTCACACACACATTCACACATTCACACATTCACACACACATTCACACACACATTCACATACACACACACGCGCGCACACGCACACACACGCACGCACACACACCCGCACACATACACACACACGCACACACACGCACACACACGCACGCAACGCACACGCACACGCACGCACACACACACACACACACGCACACACACACGCGCACACACACACGCAAAGACACGCACACACGCGCACACGCGCGCACACTCTCACGCACACAAGCACACATCGAGAAACACCCACACACACGCACAGACACACACACACACACACACACACACGCACGCACGCACGCAAGCACACACACACACACGCACATACACACACAAACACACGCGCACATATACACACATGCACACACACAGACACACACACACACCACACACATACCCACGTCTTGTTTGGCGGTACCGGCCTCGCGCTCGGCGCCAGGGCGGAGTCAGCAAGACACACACACACACACACACATACAACCAAGGCTTTTCGTCGGACGCGGCCGGGGAATGAATCCGCACGGGCGCCCCAAGGTCGGTGAGCTTGACTCCCAGTGTGCCGAAGCTGCAACTGCGTTGGGCGCAAGTGAGAGGGAACGATAGGGGCGGCCGGCTCAGGGGAGAAACATCGAGCTCTAATCGGTGGTACATCGGCGATAGATCGACTATAGGCCCGCCATGGCGAAACCGCACGTTCCTGGGCGGGGTGGTTAATCGGGCCCCTATCGGCGATGAGTGGGTGATTGGAGGTCGATGCGTCGCCCCCCCCTGAGTCTACCCGCCCCTGCCGCTGCCCCTGAGCAGGACGCGGCATGGTGCAAGACCGGTCAGCCCCTCACGCAGCGGGGCCGCAGGCCAGCCTGCAGTCCGGAGGCGCATCCAAGCAGCTGCGCTGAGCGCGCGAGCGAGTCGAGCCCCTACCTACACAAGCACAACTGCAATCTGCCCTGTCCTCGACGACGTGAAGGTAGGGAAGCGTCAGATCACCAGGAGCATCGTCGTGGTGAAAGCGGCGCCGGCCAAAACCGTTCTCAAAGCGGCCGGTGGGCACGCCGCGCCGGGCGGCGTAGGGCCCGGGCGGTGGTCCTCCTCCCCCTCCTCCGCCGCCTCCCGGGCGTAGCGTGAGCTAGAAGCCGGCCGAGCGAAGGCGCAGTGGATAGCCGAGGCAGGGAGGTCGGACGAAGAGCGCGGGGAAGCTCGCAGCTCGGGGCGGACGAGAGGGGCGGTCAGTAGGGATTGAGGAGGAGGAGGAGGAGGAGGAGGAGGAGGAGGAGGACGAGGAGGAATCAACTCACGTAGCTGGTTTTCCCGGCGCCTCCCAGCACAGGGGGGCGCCCGCGTATCGAGGAACGCGCCCAGCGCCAGGGCCGAAACCAGCTGCATGCAGCAGACTTCGTAGCCCATCCTTTCCCTGTGCCCCCCCCCTTCCGTCCGATCCGAGCAACCCAGGTGCCCGACGCCGCGTCTTGCTTTGCAGCGCGGGCTGCCACAGCTCTAGACCCTGATGAAAGGACAATTTTTGCACCCTGCGCCGTCTTTTGACGGTCCCGCGGCTGGGTAAGGGCCCCCAGGGGCCGAACAGGACAAACAACAACTCCCGCCGCGCTCTCTTAATGGCGCGAGGGGGTCTGCGAAGGCAGGGATGACTCAGCCTGCGCGGCGGCCACTTCGTTGAACAGCGCGGACATCTCGGCCGCCCGCGCGCCCACGAGCTCGCCTCGAAGAAGGAAACACAAATTGACCGAGCCACAGTTTTTGGAGGTCCGCGCGGTCTTTTGGGTCGCGCTGGCCTATGGCAGTGGAGGGCGAGAAGGAGAAAGATGAACAAACTGCACAAACGTAAACTTCTGGAGGTCCGCGCGGAATTCTTGGGTCGGCGCTGCACCCCTCCAAGGCGCGCTGAGCGCCAGGAGGAGGCGGAGGAGGCGAAAAAGGAGGAGGGAGAGGAGGAGGAGGAAGAGGAGGAGGAGGAAGAGGAGGAGGAGGAGGAGGAGGTGGAGGAGTAGGAGGAAGAGGAGGATGAGGAGGAGGGGGACGCATCGTCGATCCAAGAAACCTGCGCGGACCGCAGAAAGCTGGTGCTTATGCAGTCTCGCGTTCCTCTATGGCTGGCCCCTCCCTGCGGTGTCGTTGGTCCCCTCTGCCGCCTGCTCCCTCTGCTGCCAGCTGCTGCTCGTCTCCTCCTGTCCCCCCTTCTCCTCCTCCCGATTATGGTCCTCCTCCTCGTCCTCGTCCTCGTCGTCGTCCTCCTCGTCGTCGTCCTCCTCCGACTCCTCCTCTTTCGGCTCCTCCTCCTCCACCTCCTCCTCGCCGCCTCCCCTCTCCGTCCTCCTCCTCCTCCTCCTCCTCCTCCTCCCCCTCCTCCTCCTCCAGGCAAGGAGTGCCAGATTGGTTCTAGCAGCAAAAACCTCCTCCTCCTCCTCCTGCTCCTCCTCCTCCTGCTCCTCCACTGTCATAGGCGCCGCGACGGGGGCCCCGGCGCCGATCCAAGCTATCTGCGCGGACCGCCAAACATTTATGCTTATGCCGTTTCCAGTCGCCCGCCCCATCAAAGCAGGCACGACGTCCGCGCGGCGCTGTTCCACCGCAAGTCCGACAAACAACGGTGGAAATGCGATGGAATCCGACGTAATCGGGAGCGGCCAAGAGGGGGGTGTCCGCTGAGTCCCAAATTGCCTTGCGAGGCCTCCGGGAGTTTTACTCCCTCCCGCTCTGATCGCCGCCGCCACAGGCCGCCCGAGCAGGCACCTCGCGGCGCTCTGGCGGCCCGCTGGCCCGGATGGAGCTCCTGCACGGCGGGGCGCCATCCATACGCCTGCACTGATCCTGGCCAACCTCATCTCTTGCCGTCGCTCGGACGTCCATTTCCCGTATTTGTCGGTTTCGTGCGTGTTTCTATTGCTCGATGGTCCAGGATGGTCCTCGATGGTCCCCGCCGAGGAAAAAATGCACACGTCCGAGCGATGCCAGGACCTGGGGCCCAAGATCAGCGTATACCCTGAGATCCGGGCGTGGCATCTGTTCCACACACGGCGATGCTGCCTTATCTCGGGCTCCGGGACCCGCGCAGATGGATCCAGCTCGGAGGTTTGCGCAGAAAGATGGGGTCTCTCGGGCTCTGGTCGTGACTCTCCTGCGACTCTGCAACTCCTCTGCGACGTCGGATCTCAGGGTGCACGCCCTCTTGAGAAGACGAAGTAACGGCATAAGCATAAACTTTTGCGTGCACGTGACCAGCATAGCATAGTGGCCATAATTCATCAGCTGCTTTGATTCGGGGAGACGCAAGAATCGGGTACTGGAGACTCGGGTCGGCCTGACGGGGACATCATGAAAACGACAAGACCCAATCTGAAATTTGACGCGACCTCCCGCGGCAAACGTCCCACGAAGACCGAACCGTCAGAATCCAGGACGCGCTCATCAAACAACGTCGGCAAACCCGAGTTCCGGCGTACTCGAGTCTTACGTTTCCCCGGTTGATGTGCTACGATTCCTGGGAGCGCTCGTACGTAGAGAACAGCAGCGGCGGCATCGATACGGTGGAGGCCAGTCCACAAGAAGCCTTCCACAAAAAACCCAACCCTGAGACCCCAAGACGTCCATTGTTTTTTTGGTGTGGGGACGTCACGCTTTCCGTAGCAAAACCATCGAAACCCAAGGAACCCAGTGCACCCTGAAGGCAAGCAAGCAAGGCGATACTATCCGCCGTCGTGCCTTGTGCGCGCTGAGGCGTGGAAGAATGCCCACGGGGCTGTCTGGGAGGGCTGGCCGAGCAGGATCGGTGCAGGCGTGCAATCGGTGACCCCCGATCCTGCGAAATTCTACAGACCCGTGCCAGTCCAAAGCCGGGTTGGCCCAGCTTTGCAAGACCCTGCAAGGTCCTGCAACATCATGCGAGATCCTGCGCCCAAGCCCGGGTCAATGCGCCCAGACATCTGGCGCCTCGAACAACAATCGAGACAGAGGTGTTTCATCGTTTTCGACCTCTCGGGGCCATTTCTGGGCCTCGGGATGAAACGCAATTCCCAGGGAGGAGGAAGAGGAAGAGGAAGAGGAAGAGGAAGAAGAGGAAGAGGAGGAGGAGGAGGAGGAGGAAGAGGAGGAGGAAGAGGAGGAGGAGGAGGGAGGGGAGGGATGTTTAGGGAGGGAGGGAGGGAGGGAGGGAGGGAGGAGGCGGAGGAGGTGGCGGAGGAGGAGGGAGAGGGAGGGAGGGGGGGAGGGAGGGAGGGAGGGAGGTGAGAGGAGGGGGATGATGATGATGATGATGGTGGATGGTGAAGGATGATGATGCTTGATAAATGATGAATGATGATGATGACGATGATGATGATGATGATGATGCTGATGATGATGATGATGATGATGATGATAATGATAATGATGATGATGATGTTGGGGAGGAGGAGGAGGAGGCGGAGGAGAAGGAGGAGGAGGAGGAGGAGGATCGAGGAGGAGGGGCAGGAGGAGGAGGAGGGAGTGTGGTGGGAGGAGGAGGAGGAGGAGGAGTGGAGGAGGAGGAGGAGGCGGAGCAGGAGCTAGGAGGAGGAGGAGGGCAGGAGCAGGAGCCAGGAGCAGGAGGAGGAGGAGGAGGAGGAGGAAGGACGTCGGGAAAGGCGGGAGAGGAGGAGGAGGTGGTGGAGGAGGAGGTAGAGGAGGAGGAGGAGGAGGAGGCGGAGGAGAGGGCAGGAGGAGGAGGAGGAGGAGGCGGCGGAGGAGGGAGGAGAGGAAGATAGGGAGGAAGCTGAGGGGAGGAGGAGGAGGCAGGGGAGGAGGATGAGGGGGTGATGAGGGAGGGGAGGAGGGCGCGGAGTGGAGGAGAATGAGGATGAGGATGATGATGAGGATGAGGAATGAGGAGGAGGATGAGGATGTATGGGATGGGATGAGGATGAGGATTGATGATGATTGATGATGATGCATTGATGTTGATGATGTTGATGATGATTTTGGATGATGATGATTTTGATGATGATGATGATGATTTATGTCTGATGATGATGATTTGACGTGGTGCTGATGCTGAGGAGGAGGAGGAGGAGGAGGAGGAGGAGGAGGAGGAGGGGCAGGGATGAGGAGGAGGAGGAGGAGCAGGAGGAGGAGGAGGAGGAGGAGGAGGAGGAGGGGGAGGAGGAGGACGAGGAGGACGAGGAGGACGAGGAGGAGGAGGATGCGGAAGCGGAGGAGGAGGAGGATGAGGAGGGGGCGGAGGAAAAGGAGGAGGAGGAGGACGAGGAGGAGGATGATGCGGAGGAGGATGAAGAAGAGGAGGAGGTTTCCCGCGAGCACAGCGTGGGCGAGCACCTCGCGTCCACCTGCGTCAGGCCCGGTTAGTCCTCCGCGCCGCCTGAGGCGGCGGAGGAAATTTTTGCCTCCACGCCACTTCCCGCGGCGGAGGCCCTGGCAGCATTCCCAATCGATTCCAGAAACTCCAATTCCTGGGTTCTGGACAACGCGACCGCCTCTCCAGGCAGTCTGTCATTCTTATAAGGATGCTTCCCTGCCAGCAAACGATTACGCCGAGTCTTGGCTTTGTGGTCCCTCGGGTCCTTAGGACAACCTGTAAGTAACCCACAAGCCCTGGCGCTCAAACAGGCGCCGCACTCTCGACAGAAGGTGTGGTGGCCAATTCGAGACAGCATGTGTCGCCTTGGCCCCTCCAAAGGAGCCCCGTCGACACTCGCTATCTTCTTCCACTTGGCGTGCGAGGAGAAACCCTCCCTGCAAAACTTACGCGACAGCACCAGCTTGGCCTTATAGCTGTGGGCCCGTCTGGCACACCATGCACACCTCCAGGACCCCCTGTCCACCTCCAGGACGTGCCGAGACCCGGGAGGAGGCAAAACCGAACGGCGCGGCCGAGGGCCAGGGGGCTGGGAGGCGCTCTGGTGACGGCCTGTGGTGTCATCAGTTGTGCCTATCTTACAGGTCATATCTCCGACAAGCCCGAGGACAGCACAAACCTCCTTAAATCTGGCCACCCACGTGTCTCTGATATGCGGCGGGATGGCGTCTAGCTTGGCGCCGTCCTTCGCTTGAAGGTCGGCGCTCTGATTCCCGAGGTACTTGCACAGCTCGAGTCCCTCGAGCTGTTGGGCATGGGCCTTCTTGGAATGCGCTTCGACTTTGACGACGACGAGGTCACCCTCCCCAACGAACGAATCTTCAATCGCATTCCAAATTCTATGCCATAAATCGGCATGCGGTCGTCTGGCTGGGCGGCACCAGACTGGGCCTCGCATGAAGCCCCGAACGACGGTAGAATTGTCGATCCCCACCTGTAGAGGGGCAGCGACATGCCGCAGAACATTCAGGAAACCGTACCATTCTGCTCTAAGCACACTTTGTGCCTGCTTAACTCCTGGAACCGTGCCATGCATTGCTTTGCGTATATTTCCATGCTGGTCGACAAAACAGAGGCCCCCTCCGAACGACTTCAACCCAGAAGCCCCGACCCCCGACCCATCCGAGTAGGCCAGTCCTGAGAGAAGGGGATCGTCCCCGTACTCTGGGTCCAGGGTCTCCATGCTGGGCGTGACGTCCAGGAAGGGATCCCCCAGTGGGTGAGGCACGAGAGCCCTGGAAAAGAGACAGGAAGAGGGGCACGAGGAGGAGGGGCGGTAGATGATATCAGGATAGGATTCACTTGCAGCCTGGCGCTGCTCCTGACACGCTGGGCACCCCTGGGAGCCCCAAACGTCAAACCACTCTTGCGCGGCCCTGTCGGCCGCTTCCTGAGGATCAGCAAGCTCGAGGTTGGGAACGGAGTAACCCTCAACGGGGAGAGGAGGAGTACGCCACTTGCTGATCCTGTGGATGAAAGAAGAGCCTGCAGTCGACTCCTTCTTCAAACGTTCTCGCTATTCTTTTGACCGTGCGGCTGCCAGGTGCCGTTCGACGGTCTGAGCATTGGCTTCTGCGCGACGCTGGAGACCCATGATCTCTGGGGGCAGCTCCATGAGCGCTGGGCCCTCGAGACAAAGGGCGCGGTATCGTTCAAACTGGGCGATTACGTGCTCAGCCTCCTCCCCCAAGTCATGAACCAGCCGACTCCTTCCTCCTCCGATGCGGCGCTCGAGCTTTGCTCGTCGCGCACGTGCATGCATCCAGGTGCCCTCCTGCTGGGCAGCTTGTGCGAGGAAATTACTGGCTCGTGCGGCTACCCACCGCCATGCTTCAGCACAGTGTGAGACCTGCTTCCAGAGCTGATCAAGCTGGGTGCCCTTTAAATCGTGCTGATGATCGAAGTCTGGCCACTGTGCAGGCTGCGGGACTGGTCCGCACGGCCTCTCGATTGGGAAAGGTCTAGGCTTGGCAAGCCTCCAGCCGCCTTTTGCTCGCGTCCTGGACTGCTTGACTAGACGGATTGGCGAATGAGGCGCGGCTGCGGTGTCTAAAACTTCTACCGTGTCACCGAACGCATGCTGGATGCGGGCGTCGAGCACAAAGAAATCGCTGATACTGCCACCGCCGACTCCTGCGCACGTGGCAGTGGAGGGGAGACGCACCACTCCTCCCACATCTTGGCACCACCACGTCTTGAGCCGCGACTCCCCCATCTCGTTGAAATCTGCTTGGAATATCCACGGTATGTCATACTGCTTGATGACCGTAGCGATGGCCTCCATTGACAAATTTTGAATCGTCCAACTTTCACGTGTCCACAAATATGCCGTGGTAAACATGAGGCCACCCTTCTGTCCAGCAGAGCACCAGCCCACTGCCGCGCGCCCAGCCGAGCCAGGAGGTGAGATATCAAACGTATTCATGCCTTCGAGGGTAAGAACA